TTAGAATACTGATGGGCGAGAGAATAAGCGCTTGCTTGGCTGATGGCTGCACCTTGCGAAGTTGATGAAGACGTTGCATATTTGCTCGATGGCACAACAACATCTGTTGAAGGTGGAACTGGCAATGAATTCAAGCTTGGCGGCGATGCTTTGGAAGAACTTTGTGGATGGTCCAGAATAGCCGCTTATGATATGTGACAGAGTTCTCCTTTCTTTCTCATCAATCCCGTCGTAGTCATCGAGCGAGGTTTCGTTTGCATGGCCCGTGATTTGAATTATTTTGTGCCTTGGTTGTCCGGCTTTCTTCAATTTGGCGACAACTGCTTTTCTGGTGGAATGATTTGAAATCTTTTTTCCATCAATGCTGATCGTCTGTGCTAGGGTCTTCATAATGCTGCCAAGTTTGTGTTCGCCCATCCTGGACTTGGCATACCAAACTTCGGTTTTCGGACGCTGTATTATTGCCAAGTACAAAGGCCCAGAGGTTCGCATTTCTAATGGGCGCCTTCTCAGAAATTCTTCAAAGAGCCGGACTGGATCTCTTGGTCCACCGTCTGTGGCCCACATCTCTTGAGGAGTTTTTCTGTGTTTCGCTGAAAGGCCACCGGAACGGGTCTTTGTTGGATTTTCATTGAAACGAACGCACTTTGCCAATTCTCTTCCCTGGATCTGGATCCACGCAACTTCAAAATCTTGTACATAAGCGTCGTAATGGTCTTGACGGCCACGAAATCCGAAGTGCTCGGACAAATTTTTGAAGTTAACGTTTGTGAGAGCCACTCCATCGTGGTCGGCTAACAGACCACTTGACCAGAAGGACTCTTCTTCGGCAGAGTTGTACGGCAGGGCGCGATTCTTTCTCTTGCCGTAACCATTCATTCGTAGTTGTTTTGCTTTTGCTTCAAGAACAGCCCTTGAAGATGAGAACTCCAGACTGTTTATCAGACTGTATGGATATTTCTGGGTGGACAGGTACCGTTCCAGGGCCGCTTTCATAACTTTAAGTGAGTCCGGTTCATACTCTGAGCCGTCTTGCTTTCTCACCTCCGGATAAAATTTTTGGAGGACTCCGTCTAAAGTTGCGGGCGCCATTGTTTCTATACTCTCGTTGACTTGACGTGACTTTGCCCAGGAATACCAAACTCTCATCCACGTATTTGTACTTCTTTTTGTGTTCTTGTTTTGTGCTTCTTTAATTGTTTCTTGGATTTGGTCAGTGGAAGTAAGTGGAAACCTGGACTCGTCTGGTGCCGGTAAGTTGTTTGTTGTTTCCGCCAGGACCGCTCGCTCGCTCTCTCGGTTTGTTGTATTTAAGACTTCAGGGACTGTATCGCTATTTTTTTTACTTCCAAGGCTTTCTAAATCAATTGTATTAAACAAGCTGTCAAAGTCTAAAGAAAAAATGTCTGAATAAAAGTCACTGGACCAGTTAGTTTCCTCCATTTTTCTTTTCCAGTTGAAGCTGGACAGCTTACCTGGTGACAATTGTTTCATTGATTTTGATTGGTTATCATGTGCCATGTAGTGAAATTTCATTGGCTAGTGGCATTTGCTAGTTGATTTTCATTGGTTCTTTAACTGTCCGATTTGACCTGTCCGATTACAAGCTTCTGGTAATCGGACAGGTCAAATCGGACAGTTTTGAAGTTACATAGCAAAATTAAGCTATAAATATGGGCTGTTAAGAACCAATCATATTCAAGCATTTTGTTATTGGCACAATTAATTTCAGAAATTGTATATTGATATGGTAATAAGATGAGTTTATCAGTTCATTGATCAAAACTTTTACTGGTAACTGGGTAATATTTGGAATCAGAGTATTGACCCTATTCCAAAAGTTGTTCACCTAATCACAGAGTATGTTGAACAACGAAAAATTATGTGAACTTCGTCGTCTATTAGATTTGATCCATAAAGAAGGCAATGCCTTTTATTATCTATATATATTTATATAAAGTTTAATTGTATCTACCTAATTCTATAATTAGTTTCTGAATTATTCGTAATTTTTCTAATGCTCGTCTCTCAGTTGTTCCTCTCATAAGTCTAGTAGGTAATTAGAAGTGGTATGATCAGTTATAAAAGATCTATAAATTTCTAGTTTTTGAGAATGTTGAAGGGTGTTTTTCCAATATGATATATATTCATGCTTCATTAAACCTACAGAACATTTTTCTATAGCGGTATCTAACAAATCAGGAGTAAAGTCTGGTTTGGCATACACACCCCAAATTTCACTGTTATCTGTCAGAATCGGGAGAAATCATCGTATCAAATAATTTACAGGCAAGGTCTACGCTAACGTTGTTTTTAGTAAAGATTCTTGAGTCATGATGACATAAGTCATGATTAAAAACTGAGAAAAATTTGTGGTTACGTCATTCGACCTTTTGATGTATCCAACATTATAACCAAGAATAAAATTTGTCACTGACGAATGTCAGGCTTTCGTTATCCTTCCCAGTTGATTGACGCCAGACGACGTAGCGGGCTGTGAAGTGCGAAGTTACACAACAGACAAGAGCAACACTCTTCGTAAGGTCATGTTTTCCCTTCCTTTCGTTGACCAAAATAATGCGGAGAATACAAGGAAACAAAAATTGGCGTCTCTCTGCAACCTTTTTTCAGTAGTAAGAAAGTCTGCAACATCCTCTGGACTATAGGTCCTATGGAGCCAAAACGTTGACCGAAGATCATTTGAGTGTGTGGTATTTCATTTCTGAATGTTGTCTATGGGATATAGATTTTGTCGGTTTTACAAATCTTTTACAGATCTTCGATTGGGAAGCAAATGAAATAGCATAAGGTCCAGAAACTAACTATCAAGTGCGAGAGTAACCTTGCGGACTAACAGGCCCTTTGCAATAGTTGGTCACGTGATCAACTTTCTTTGACCACGAAAACAGTTCTAGCTTGAATAATTTTACTGGCAGAACTGAAAAAGCATATTAGAATTAGGTAAATTTTCAGCCGTATATCTCAGAAATAGCGATTGCAACGACCGCCGAAAATTAGAAGGATTTGTATGGGAAAACCAACTCATGCCATCTGGTCACGGATGTTGCGAAAGAGGAAAAAAAATTAAGCGGACTGGGGACTATGGAGAGGGAAAAAGTCGGAAGCCTGTCTTCTTCTCGTCTCCCTTCCCATTGTCCGCCGCGCGTTTTCTTCATCACCCCCTTCCCCCCAACCCAGCCTCTCTGGATCTCAAACAGGCCTCTGTGAAGGGGAGAGAGCTATTCAGTGAAATTCAAGTACTTAAACTTTTTATAAGTTTGCCATACAACGTTTTTCCACTCTTGATAATGATGTTGGATGCATCGGAACGTAGAATTAAGTCACCCAGAAGCAACTGACAATCCGTTTTCTACTTAGGTCTGACTTTTTTATTTTGTTGCATTATGATTGGTTGTTGCTGATATTTTTCTTCCGATTGAGTTGTAAGTAACTGTATTAATTGATTGCGTGACTACCTAATTGTTTGGTATGCTCTAGGTCTAAATCTAGTCTTTTTTTATTTCACGATGTAGAACTAGTGAATTTATGCTTCAAATAAACCGCTATTATCAATGTTAATGTTATTGTTATTATTATTATAACTATGATTTGAAACAAATGAAAGGAAGCGTTAAGTTTTTGTTTGCTGCTTAGTCAGCTATTACCACAGTAGCGAAGGTAGTGAGTACCATCAGCGGATGTGCTGTTGAGATAGTACACTAAATATGAACCACAATTTCGCACCTCGATGCTTGTTGACCAGTAACAGCAGTTAGTACTCCAGGAGAAACACACCGTCCTGGTGACTGGAAGGTCACTGACTTTGGGTTCACCACCTCTCATCCAGCCAGGTGCATTAGTGTTGCACGTATTGACACGTCGTTGATTATATTTATTTCCATATTTATAACTATATCTCGGACATGAGTCTTTCATTTTTGTGCCTGCGCCCCCCCCTCAAAACGGTACCATCCCGGTCCTTCTCCCTTGTCAGTCTTCCTAGTTCTTATGCCGAAATCCACCGTCCTGTCAGCGTTGATAAGACTCCTGTATCCTTTACGCTTGTCGTCGGATAGCTTGTTAGGCGGGCCGGTTTCAGGTAGGCATTCTGACAAAAAATGATTCCCTCAAAGTTAATTAATAATCATAGTAATTATGATTATGGTGATGATAATGATAAGGAAGATGTGATGTGTCAAAAGAACTGAAAGTTATTTTATTTGCCGATGATACTAATGTCTTCCTTTCTCATAAAAAATCTTAATCTCCTGATACAGAAGGTGGATTTTGAATTGATTAAATTAACCCCTTGGTTCCTAGCTAATGGGCTGTCAATTAATATCAAGAAAACTAAAAATATAATAATAACGCTTGATTGTTTAATAGTAAAGCTTTGTGATCATACTTTAGCTCCGTTTTGGAAAGTTACACTATTTTTCTAGGGGTGATTTTGGATGAGCATCTGTCATAAAAACATTGCTTACTTAGCTTCTAAAATTTCCAGGTCTTTAGTCGTTATCGCCAAGTCAAGCTTTTGCCTTTACAAATCTGCTTTGCGTACACTCTATTTTCTCCCTTGTCCATCCCTATTTGCAATATTGCGTAAGTGTTTGGGGATCGACCTATCCTACTAATTTGAAAGGCCTCGTACTGCTGCAAGAACGAGCTATGAGAATCATCAGCAAATCTTGTTATGATGCTCATACAGACCCAATATTTAAGAATCTTGTTTGTATCTTACCGTTAAATGATATGTATCTAGCAGAAATAGGTAAAATAATGTTTCAATATAAAACTGGGTTGTTACCGGATATATTTAAAAACACTTTTATATGAAGGAATCAGGTTCATAGTTATGATACCAGGAATGCCAGATCCTTTCATGTTCCTAAGTTCAGAACTAACATAAGACGCTTTTCATTGCGATATCAAGGTCCCTTGTTTTTTTTAATTCACTTAGTACAGACATTCTAAGCTCGGTTAGTGTATCAAATTTTAAG